TCGTCATTCTGTGGAAGAAATTTTAAAATGGTCAAAGGGATGGTCAGTGTCCATTTAGAGACAGGAGTATAAAAATATATCCAAATCAAAGCACTGTGAGTCAAAAACACAAAGTAAGGAACTATTTAGACCTTTCGAACAATGTGCTTATACGGTCAACTTACATACAACCACACGTTCACTCACACACACTATTCAGCTAACAATTTCAACTATTTCTACTCTATAATTGATGTGTGTATGTGTTTGTTTATGTTTGTCTGTGTGTTGAAGATTGATTTGTCTGCAGCTGAGGTGGTGTCTAGGTTTTCAATGGGGCTTGAATGAAAGAAATGTAAAAGTAGAGAGGAAGTTGGGGTATAATAGCAAATATGTATAATAGGGGGTCAAAGTCTTCTTGTTTGTACCATGATATGAACCAAATGAAGAATATCTGTGTGTCATATAAATAAATAAATAAATAACTCACTTTTAACCAGACTGAACTATAGGGAATATCAAGAATGTAGATTTTCAAATGTGGATTATTGTGAGGAAAAAATATATATATGGTGATGAAAATGTAGTTAAATTAGAAATCCATTTCATGAAAATTTGATTTTTCGTTAATTTCAGTTCTCTGACATGTTACTGTATATAATTCCTTTTTTACTCTGGTCTTAAAAGAAAGATTTGCCAAAAAAAAAAAAAATAATGTAATAATATTGTTGTAAAAAATATATGTAAATGACCTTTTGATATAAAGAACAAATTAAAAGATAATAAAATAAACTTTAAAGCAAATCACTTCCCTTCAAAAAGAGGTTCTTAATCTAAATAGAACTTTCCTGGGTGAATGACAGGTAAAAAAATATAAAAAATAAAAAGCATGCATATATAAGGGTGGCAGTAGCTCAGTTGGTAGAGCGTTGGCTTTCGAGCCAGAAGGTCGTGGGTTCAAGCCCTGCTCAAGACCTTCACCATCGACTCCCACTGACTACTGTCAGTGTGTCCTTGGCAAGACACTTCACCCCCATTGCCTAGAATGAGTCTGGTGTGTGTGTGTGTGAATGATTGGTGGTGCTCGGAGTGGCCGATGGCACATACTGGTTGCCTCACTTCTGTCAGTGTGCCCCAGGGCAGCTGTGGCTACAGTAGTAGTTTATCACCACTGTGTCTGGAGTGAATGAATAATGACACATGTGAAGCGTCTTTGAGTTACCAAAAAAGTGCTATATAAAACCAATGCATTATTATTATTATATAAGGTCTAAGAAAGTAAACATAGATAAACTAATCCTCTTGAGAAATGAACCAAATATTTATCATAAAAAATGAACAAAGTTTTGTACAACCAATGGCCTTGTAGAACCACCTCTGTGCAGGGTCCTGTGTGTGGAGTCTGGGGCTGGGGCTAGTGTGTGTCACTGTGTGGAGAAATGTCACTTTCCTTGCATTTTCTTTTCACTGGTTGAATTCAGAGTTGTCCAGCCATCCCACGCAGCAAACATAATAATCACAACTACATTCATGATTTTACCGGTTACATTTGGCAACTTAAAATGCTTGGACTGAGAGAGCAGAAAGAACCAAACTATATGGCATTTTCACTGAGTCTGAGTGACACGCTTAAAACAGGTTATTTACACAGTTTTGTTATCTTTTGCATTCGCTTACAGTAAAAATGTTATTGAAAGTTTCTGTTAGTCTTTTCTGTAGAAAGGTCATTTTTTATTTACAAAGATAATATCATATTTACCAATTGAAAGGCTATTATTTGCAGTATCATATATGTACATACATAATTATGATTAGTTCAATGCAGCACTGAGTAACTTATCTGGAGGGGGATCCATCACAAGCTTTGCGGATATGTTACTTTCCCAGGGATTGGTCATACTATGGCAAAACACTTAAATATTACTATCTATCTATTTATATTATATCTATGTTAACCTTTGAATTGACCAATACTATATTATAGATCGATACAGACAAAGAGTGTAATCCTCCATCAGTAAAGTTACATAGCGCAGCTTTAAGCATGGCACGTCTTTCACAAAACAAAATGTGCCTTTAGAAATTAGTATTTGTAACAAAATGTAGGATTAAGATCAGATACCCTTGTGTACATCAAATAATAAGACAAATGTGAAAGAAAAGCGTATCCTCACAAAACACAAGATTAGTGATAGTCCTTGGCCTCTTCCAAAATGAACTTTTACAAATCTTTTCAACCAAGAATCTTCATACGCCGCTGAATGTCCAATGTAAAGTTGAGGTCAAACATGGTGAGAAACAGGTGATCCAAATTCAAAATAGTAGAAAGTTAACATTGACTACGGCATGCGGCTACATATCAAAACAATTACGTAAAGTGAAATGGATACTCGATGATCCTGTATTAAAATGACTCTAACACAGTACAGACGCAGTAATTATGTAACTCTAAAGGGCAGCTCTGTGGTCATTTGGTCTGAAGGCAGGATGGCCATCTCATAGTCAAAATAAACAATAGACAGTAGTATAGGAGAGCTCATCTTATTGGCTATTGGTAAATCAGGTGATGCAATTTCATACACAAAGTTATACGCATTGTTGGTCTCACTGCTCGCATTTTGAAACTTGAAATATATCTAGTTTTGGAAAATACATAACACGTTTTTAGTGTGTAATTCGGCAGTAGGAAAAAAAAAACACACAAAACTATCTCAATTTATTTCAGTATATTCAGCTGAGACTTACACACTTCCTGATTTGTGATGTAAAAAAAAAATTGAATAAAGGTCGAATAAACAAAATATAGAATTTTTTCAATAATAAAAAAAGAACTGTCTATTGTTTATTAAGAGAAAATATATCAAAATGATATAAATGAATAATTTTTAGAGAGCACCAGGTTTTGAAGGTACAGCCTCTATGGCTTTAGGATCGTCAGTGCGCAAAAGGTTTCATAAAATGGACCTGGGAACGTTCACACAGGAAAACAGTGGAAACTGTGACCATCAAAACTCTTTTTCTCTCTTAATTTGCAAATCAAGAATGCTCTTTTCGTCATACGTGGTCAGAGACTTATTAGTGGTCCAAAAAATCACTGAATCATCGCTTTGTGCTTTCTCTGGAGCCAATTTTTTTCAAAATTTCAGATTTACAAATTGTATAAAGTGCGGTTCTTTCTTCATTTATTAGATATCAAAACATAATATTATTAGTAGTGGGTAAATATTAGTCTTTTATCCCATTATAGTATATAATATTCACATACATACTGTACATACATGAACATACACAGCCTTTAGGAGGAAGGATCATTATGGAATAGACCTCCTTAGATATATGTGTACATGTGCTTTGGGTAATGTCCTCATTCTAGAATCATGTATATCATAATGAGGCTAAACCACTTGGAATGTTACTTTATTAACTAAATAAATAAATAGCATGTTAAATTAATATTGTAATCAGCCGTATTGAAAGCAGAGGATGTTTTGCTCACACACCAGATGCAAACTTGTGTCAATAGAAAGTCAAGTGTAGGGCAGTAGGTTTTTTTGCACTAGAACTATGAAAGACCTGACAGTTATTTTGTATTTAAGCTTCGGTCACAGTACCTAATATCCCCCATCGTATTACTCCATGTAAACTTGCACCTAACTGGTATTTTGGCAATAACTCATATCTAAAAATATATATAAGCAACAAAACAAAAAATAATACAAAAACAACTTCCTTCCAAGTTACACAAACGCAAAATAAATAGGAACAGGCACCGTAATTGTTTGTAATCTCATCTTTTTAGTAAATATAAGGCGTTTTCGCACATACCAGTACCAAGAACAAGTCCCTATTATCCCCCAGTTGCTATTTAGCCAGAAGACAGACCCAGTTCCCTTTGGTTGCGTTCGCACTGCGCAAATGGCTGAAGTCCACCTGGATTCAACAAATGAGGTGTGGAACATTTACGTACTTCTACTAGACAAACTTTATAACTCATCAGGTCCAAAGATAAACATATTTGTTCACACTTTATTATTAAATTCTATAATTTTCATCTAACTGTTCTAATGCAGATAACAGTTGTATGTACATGGTTTACACTAATGTACAATAGAAGAGAATCTAAATCTATAAAAAGAATAAAAACAACAACATCATCTTTGTGAGAAAGTCAGTGTTCATGGTTAATGGAAAGTCCCTTCCTCACAGCATGAGCTAAGAAGTCCCCAATGTGTGGGTCCATTGTCTAGTTACTATTGGCCATTTTCACGGCCCGTCATTTTATGATGTCCCAGGGTACATCACTTCAGGTTCCCGTATTACATCTGTGACAAGGTCAAACCTTTTCATAAACAAATCAAATCTAGTTCTAGTTAAGAAGTTCTTAAAATGTGCTCTGAGTTTAGACAGTTGGCAGGTTTGTTGACAATATTTATCTCCTTCAACTCACACAGTTCTCCCATAATGCACTGCAAGAGGCAACGGGACCAAACTAAAACTAAAACATGTTAAATGATATACATGTTAAAACTATTTCTATAGATATGTATAGTAATATAATAAAGTACTAGTTTAGTATGGATCATTAACTACAGATAAGATTCATTACAGGTTATTTTGATTGTTTAGGACATTATTAGACACTACCGCTAGCCTATAGCCGTTAGCATGTGAACAAAAAGTGTGGCCTTTTGGGGACATAATTCATATCTTTTTACAGGTGCACACCCGCTGTAAGTGCGTAAGAACAAGGCAGTAGCTAACCAATCCGCAATTTTGAGACGTTTTATGAAAAAGTCGGATCCTGTCACTGGACCAGAGGGGGCGGGTTTTTAGTGTGAAAAAGGTCAATGTGTGAGCGCATCCAAAACAGGAACAAGAACTACAAAGTACCAGGAACTGAAAAAGGTCCCTACAGTGCGAAAACCCCTATAATGTTTAAAATCCTGAATATTGAGACATGAAACAAAAATATTCAGACACTTCACTTTTTTTTTTCTGTAAATTGTCCCTGCTTAGTTGCGTTAGTTGATGTAGTAAAGCCAGTAAACAATGTTGAAGAAGGAAAACATGGTGGGGAAGATCATCCGCGACCACTTGTCAATAGAGTTTACATCAGCCAGGTCTGGGATGGTGATTTTGAGCTGGGATGCGCGCCTCCGTAGTCTGCTCTTCTTGGTCATGTGTCTCTCCAGTGCGTTGTGGCGGGCGAAGTTGTGTCGTGCTAGGCCAGCTTTGCGATACTGCAGGGTGGAACTGTCATAGGTGAGCATGGTGTTCCGGGGGTCGTTTAAGCCTAACGCCAGCTCCGAGATTCCCATGTCGTTCTTCAGGTCCAACGTGCTGAGCAGGATGTTCTCGTGAGGATCCATCTGCAAAGTGAACAAGTGAGGTTGGAATTTTTACGTCTATAAGTTTGAACCATGTCCAATATTATAATAAGTCATTTCTAATGAATAATACTGTATGTTAGAACATTCTATTTGGTGTCTTTGATAATAATGCTTGATGTACATTGAAAAAAACACTAAACTCAACTTTATGATTACAGTGGTCCCTTGCTATACCCCAGGTCACCCTTCATGGCCACGCTGTTTTGCAGATTTTTTTGTGTGCAATTTTGCAATCTTTTTTTTTACAGTGTGCTTCTCATGCGCCATGTGTATAAACCAACAATATCATGCACAACATCATGTAACCGCTAGTATAACATGACAGCATATAACCACAATAGTATAGCATGACAGTTAAATATATAAAGTCAGAAGAAAACGTTTGTGGTTTGTGTGCACTGCAATTAATAGTTGTCTTCCCGTAGCCCTATGTTCTGTATTTTTTTGTGTATGCACGGCATCGCAGAGACCTACAATGAATAGGTTTGATATCTCTGCAATCACACTTCAGCAGTCATGAGGTTGCAAAAGTGTATAAAGTGTGTGGTATACAGCAGTAAAACATACAGCTGCTAATTCGCGGCGTATTACCCTTACTGAAGGTTATTTTTAGGATGTAAGCACGATAAATGAGCGACCACTGTATTTCTTATTTGGCCTGATGCTGTAAATCTTGATGATCACATGCAGTATTTACCCTGTTCCTTTGATCCAGGCCGATGGCTGCGTCGTCCATAAATATGGGTTCCCACAGGGTGTCGTGTCCGTCCAGGTCCCGCTGCTTCATTCTGGCATACAGAGTGTCATCTCTGCCCACTACATTTCCCACAAGCCACTGCAAGCACACAACATCACCATGGTAACTTGGTTGTAATGGTTTTAAGGTGTAGGAAAAACAAACAGACAAACAAATAAAACACCAAATCTCAAAAACTTTGTAAGTGAAAAAAGATCAAAATCAGATGAAAATTAAAGCCGCAAGCGGCGTCGAACGGCCCTCGCCGCGCCGTGCGCACCACCCCGCACCAAGCCGCCCAGCACCAAGCCGCCCCGCACCAAGCCGTCCCAAATTAAGCCGCCATGCATCAAGCCGCCATGCAGCAAGCCGCCATGCAGCAAGCCGCCATACAGCAAGCCGCCCTGCACCACGCCGCCCCGCACCAAGTGGATCTGCACCACGCCGCCCCGCACCGAGCCGCAACGCGCCGCTCCACTACCCCCCGCACTACGCCGCACCACACCGTACCACGCAGCACGATGCAAAGGAGGTGGGGCCGCCATGTGATGATTTGTTGCTGTTGCCATAGAAGAACGTTGTAATGTAAGAAATTGTAATGAATATGATGATTAGAGCTGTTTGGCACCCCATGTAAAACTTTGCCTCAATCTGTAGGGGGCGCTATTGGGCCAATTTCAAATATTTCACTTTCACTTGACCTAAACCCTGGAGTTGAACATTGGATTCAAGTTTTGTGCAAATCAGACTTTGTTTGTGCAAACGGGAGCAAAATTAATGTTGTGAAAAACACTCACATTTTGCCGCTCCGCTGCTCAAACAACGTTTTGCTGATCAAAAATCCCTGAGGTCATTTTGATGGTAGATGTGTTTAGACAATGTGGAGTGATATGGAGGCCAATCGGTGAAACGGCCGAAGAGGAGTCGCTTTCCAACCGACATGTATGAAAATCATTGCGGATCATTTTTCCATTTTGCAGTGAAATTTATGGGCTTCCTGTTTGTCAGAGGGCGGAGCCATGATAAAATTTTGGTCGTATCTTGACTTGAGGAACATGCGTACCGAATTTCATGGCTTCACGACAAACTTGACCTCTGAAACTCCCCTTGGCTGTTGTAGGTGGCGCTGTCCTGGCATTTTTTGAGTCCCATAAAAATAAACACCCAAATATCAAAATTTTCACCAGGTCTGATGTTTGGGCAAAATTTTACAACTTTTCATGCATGTTCAGGGGGTGAAATTAAGGCTCAAAGTGCAGAATTTGACATCTCTCTAGCAAAAACAATAGGCCCTTTCCCCGTTCGGGGCTCGGGCCTAATAAAATGAAAATATGTGAAGACATGTAGAGAAATGTTTGTGGCAAGACAGGTCGCTGTATGGGATCTCATGAAGCAATTTCTAAATAACCAAAAGGGTTAAACGGTGAAATTTATAACATAAAATATTGTAGTGATTATTATACCGTGATATTCTGTGGTTAATCCAAAGAGTGACTATATATTCTATGGTAAGCGCTGCAAATATGTATAAAAAAATAAAAAAAATAAAAAGAGTGAACGTTTTTATTTGCACCCAACATGAACAAATTCCCTTTTCTTTGCAAAGTTGTTTCATCTCAATCCAAACCGGTGCATGCATTGTAAACACGGGGTCAACCTTTCTTCTTTCTTCTAAGCTTGGAATAAACCCGACCTATATATACGGAATCATACATTTTTTTACTCAAAACTTTTGCAGCATTTGGATGCATTTCTTACGTTTGGATTTGAATCATGTTCAAAGCTTCGGGAGTGTCTTTAATATAATGAACGCAAGCGAGAGGTACTTTGAGAATGTACAAAGAAAAGTTATATTTCAGTCAATGTTTTGGATAAAAAGAAACAACTATGATTGACAATAAATCTGTATAGAACCTTAAAAACATAAATTATGGACATCTATATTCATTGTGGTTATAATTATTTGCATTTGAGAATGACACACAGTACTAGTTACCCTGGCAACAGTGTAATTGTCTCTGTGTCTGTAGGCAGCATACATGATTGGACGATTGAGTCGACATTTGGTCTCTATATGTAAGGACCAACATTTTGCATACCCCGCCAAAATGTTGTTGGCGGGGTATGCATTCTCTGAGTTCACGTTCTAGTTTGTCGTGTAAAATGTGTGTGAACATGGTGTGAACATGGTGTTTTGCTGTTTCAATTAATAACTGTTAGAAATAATTTTGCGACCTACAACAATATATTATAGACAACATATTTTTCATACCTGGAGTTGTTTTTTTTATTTTATTTTTTTTAACCCAATCCATGCTAACATTGCTGGTGTTTTTTTCTCATTTGATGTTTACGAAAAATGAAATAGCAGAATGCAATTTACAACGTCTTCCACTAGATGGAGGTGTCCCACAACTAAGATCTTTCTTTATCCATTATTCATGTTTATCTATAAGTTATTCCACTAAAGACATAGCTTTACGATGTAAAACATAAAATATTGTCAAGATTGTGTTTTGGAGACACAATGAACACAAATAATGCATACTATGATTTAAAAGTGACCTTGTTTGGATCCATCCTCATTTTTTCGTTGTTGGCCAGAGAGATCCTTTCGGCTGCTTTCTTCTGCCTCTGTGGCCCGCGTCCAAAGAAGATGTAGTTGACGAAGGCGTACTCCAGCAGCGCGAGGAAGACGAAGACGAAGCAGCCCATCAGGTACATGTCGATAGCCTTCACGTACGGGATCTTGGGCAGTGTTTCCCTCAGATGGGTGTTGATGGTGGTCATGGTCAGCACAGTGGTGATACCTGTAAGAGGAAAAGTTCATTAGACCGGTCACAATCACATGGACACAACACTGCCCCAGAAACTTAGTATGAGTAGTTGTATAGGCTAATATGATTGTTGTAAATGTCTCTTGTGCCAATCATATCAGAACAGTTTTGTAATCCTGTTGGTGGCCTCTGGAGACGCCTGGTTAACTATAATGGCCTATAGTTTTCTTTAAATGTTCAACTGAAGGACATTCAATCATCTGTTCTGCATGGATTCCAAATATTTGCTTTCATTTACTTTCACTTTGACTTACTGCTCTTCATCGCACACTTCTAACAAAATCCTTGATATTTGCTGAAGGTTTACGGTTCATCAATTCACTCACATAAATCTAAAATTCTAAGTGATGTTTTTGAGACCCCAGGACAATACTTTCACATCCAATCAATGCCCCTTCTACATTTGATTAGGACTGAAATCGATGAAGCCAAGGACCCCACTCCTCTGATTTAAGATTCAAGTATAAAAAAGGCCAAAAAGGGCTGCATCACAAGAAATAGGAACATCTGAAATTCAAATGTCTGCCGGGATCTTGTTCATTAGCTGAAACTCCCACTGAGAAAGTTCGAGAGAGTTAAATGAAAATTTAAGACTTTGAATTATGACTTTGAAAAACGAGATGAAAATATAGGGCATTACAAAAAATTGGTCTCTTTTGGTTTTGAAAGAATTGCATGTTTAAATGTTTTGCAATGATTCTTGTATTTGTGCAAAATACATTCACATACAGTCCTTTACCTGTTGCTAACCAAAGCCTGATGTTCACGCTAGGCCCTCGCCTATGACCGTTGTTATTACCTTGATTAGTCGGGGTTATTTAGCAATCTTGTTAGCTAGCAATGTTGTCGCAGTTAATAACAAAGCGATTGGCAGAGGTAGGAAGAAAAAATTAACATTGGTGAATAGTATAGATCACAAAGATCCAAGTGTGTTCCGAGCTGGTGCATGGATAAATGACCAGACACAACCCTCGATATCCACTATTGATTTGTATTACTTTTGTCAATATTTCTGACACTTGTTTTTAAAATTTGAGGCAAAAAATCCTAAACTGTGTTAACATTTGAACACAGGTTGACTGCCTTAAAACAAGATTTGCCAGTGGGACACGCAAAATTATCCTGTTTTAGACAGACACAAGAAATGTCTCTCTTGGAAGGAGAAAATAAAGGTCTTGAAATCAGACAAAATGCCTTTGTCCCATTGGCAAATCTTGTTTTAAGACAGTCAGCCAGAATGTCTTCAGATTAAGATGAAAACCACTCGGTCCAAACATTTATCACCTCATATTTTATTATTTTTTAGTGCATATTAACTAGTGGAGATGTCTAAGCTTTTTATTTACTAATTTTTCATTTAATGTTTACTAAATTAAACATTCAGGTAAATAAAATGCAGTAGCGCAAACATAATAGACATAACAGGCAGTAAGTCAGATCATGAGAAGCCCCATTGTGAAGGCTTAACCTCTGCTTGATTTCACTGTTAGTATAGATCCCAGTACCGCTTGTATTAATCTACATACGTCAACATTATTTAAGGCATTTTCTATCCACAGACGCAACAACTAGTAAATGGCCAGGCAGCTGTCGCAAAGCTGACACCGCTCACACCGGGATTCAGGCAATTTCACACAAGCTGCTCCCAACAAAGCACAACAAAGGCTTTCTAATTATGTTTACTGTAATAACTAAAACTAGGTCAAGCTGAAGACCAAACAGCAAATAAAGGTAGTACTAGTTGTAGTAGTAGCAGTGGTAGACATGCAATACTTGATCATAAATAAAGAAGCTCTGGATTGCACTGTTTTACTATGGATTTGTTTTAATTATTATTTTATTGTACAGCTTTTGGGAAAATGTGTTTATGAAATGTGCTAAATGAATAAGGTGGACTGGATTGGATTGGACTAAAACAACAAAACAGTTTTAAAGTGCTGATACTAGAGCAGGGATGTCAAACTTGCCTCATGCAGACCAAATTAAATTATGATTATTATCTTTCATTTGCAAGCAATAACGGTATACCGTATATACAAATTGACTTGGCATGGTATAATATAAAAAAAACACTGTATAATTGAATGTATTCTAAAGATTTACATTAAAGTTTTGTAAATCTTAAGGTTTGATACCTTTTAATACGGTTGTAATTCAGATTTAACTCACAAAACTACACAATATTCACTCATAATAAATACAAGTAAGCTTTCTATTGTATTTGCATTGTACAAGTCACAATTACTCCATAATTTCGACCCTGACCGGCTCTCATTTTTGACAGCTGACCCTGTTACCAAAATGAGCCTGATACCCCTGAACCTCTCTTCTTAAGGTATATTTATTTAGCCAATATTAGGTTTTTATTCAGTTAAGCCTTTTCATGATTACATGCTGTATAAAGAGAATATTGCCCTACTTGCCTCTCCTATTCTCTGACAAAGGACTAACTCTGCTTTTACAAAACATTTTGGGCTTTTAGTTAAACCAGGTCAAAGTAACATTTGACCAACTCCAGTGACCAGCCTTTATCATGGGGCATTGCTTCCCACCCCCCCCTCCCAATCCTTTGCACGCACCCTCCTCCTCCAGAGCTAAGTTCAATCAGTGAAATTGCCCTGTCGAGTAAAGCCAGGCGCGAGTGGAGAGATCTACTGTGCTTGGATGGTCGCGATGACAAATATAGACGAAACACAATCCACCCAGGCTTAATTTCTAAAAGGATTCGAGCTATATTTGAAATTCTGTGATGGATCTTTGACATGTGTGCCTTCCAATGAATATAGCAAAAATAGTAATATATATGTGGAGAAATGAACTGAAATATATTTTGAGGTCACTTCATAAAAATACTGTTATTGGGTTATGAATGAGTTGGGAGGATGAGCTGTACATATAATAGCATATTGCTTAATCTACTGTATCTCTGTGTCGATAAGATATAAGTTAATTATGGGTCTGATCAATTCCTGGCAAATTGCCCTTTTTATTAAACCACTGAAGATATTTGGTTCTTCTATACCAGACAAATTCAAGATAGCGATGTTATGGACAATTGAATGAGTCCAGTGTGTGCATGTGAATGGCTGGTGGTGGTTGGACTGGCCGATGGCACATACTGGTTGCTTTGCTTTCCGTCTGTTTGCTCCAGGGCAGCTGTGGCTACAGTAGTAGTTTATCACCACCGTGTATGGCGTGAAAGACTAATGACATGTGAAATGTTTTAGAGTGTCCAAACAAGCACTATATTAAACCAATGCTCTATTATCAGTTTTCTTCCCCTTAATCCATTTCTGGAATGGGGGGTGGCAGTCAGAGCTGCACCCCTCACTGATGCTCCTGCAGGTTGTGAGTCCACAGGAGCTGAGATCTTTCAATGGGGGCTTTAGGCAAAGTGGGGTTAAGTGTCTTGCCCAGGGACACAACGACAGCAGTCATCAGTGGGAGTCGCGAATAAGGTTTTACGGTGGGCTCAAACCCACGACCTTCAAGCCCAAATGCCAATGCTCTACAAACTGATCCACTGTCGCCCCCCAACTGAGCTACTGTCGCCCCTATGCTGTATTATTATTATTAAATGTCCGATATTGAAGAACCAAATACATTTAAAAAGTGAATTTTGTCTTCTTATGTTTAAGGCTTTAAAGGTTCTTTTAATAAGACAAGAAAAGTAAAGAAAGCTAGTACTGCTTAATTACCTGACATGTTAAGTCAGGTGTTAAGCTGATAAGAGAAGCGTCACACCATCACATGTCACCTGTGCTGAAGGCGGAAGTGTACCGCTGAAATATGCCAGGTAATTAAGCAGTACTGGCTTTCTTTACTTTTCTTGTCTTATTAAAAGAACCTTTAAAGCCGAAGAACCAAATAACTTTATTCTACTTAGAAGAAAAGATAAAGCCTTCTAGGCAAGGCAAGGCAAGTTTATTTGTATAGCACAATTCATACACAAGGCAACTCAAAGTGCTGAACAAGATAGCATTAAAATCATAAATAATCACAGAACATTAAAAAGAAAGATAAAAATATAAAATCCCTCAGTTGTATGCACAGCTTCAGAAAGCCCTGGACCTGGTTTGATTGAGCCTTACTTCTTAAAGCTAGCAGCTGATTTTATAGCAGAGCCACTATTAACTATTTTTAATCTTTCGATTACAAATAACATAATTCCATCTGTCTGGAAATCTGCTTTTGTCCTTCCTTTATTCAAGGGTGGCGATCCAGCAGTTCTTACCAATTATAGGCCAATTTCAAATGTATGTGTTTTATCCAAGATTCTAGAGACTCTTATTTGTGACCAGATGAAAAAGTTTCTCTACTCAAATGAAATCATTTCTCAATACCAATCAGGTTTCAGAAAAAGGCACAGCACTATCACAGCAGCAATGAAGTTGGTGAATGACATCATCATTGTAGCACTTGACAAAAAGCAGTTCTGTGCTTCTCTTTTTATTGATCTCTCAAAAGCTTTTGACACTGTAGACCATGCTATTTTAATACGCAGGCTACTTCTTATTGGATTGTCGGAGAATGCAGTTGCTTGGTTTGCAAATTATTTCCAAAAAAGGACCCAGTGTATAAAACATGAGGACCTTTGCTCTGAATTTGTTACTGTCCACAAGGGGGTGCCACAGGGATCTGTTTTGGGGCCCCTTTTATTCATCTTGTACATCAACAATGTTGAACAAGATGTTCTTGATGCAAACATACATTTTTATGCTGATGATACTATTATTTATTGCGTTGGATCATCACTTGAGCAGGCTGTTGATTCTCTGCAGAAAGTCTTTGTTTCTGTTCAGAATTCTTTTTTTAATCTAAAACTACGTCTCAATGCTGACAAGACAAAGCTAATGCTTTTTTCAAAACATAAGAAGCTACCTCCAGCTCCCCCAGTGGTGTCCACTCTTGAGGGGAATGTCATTGAAGTGGTGCATGAATACAAATACCTAGGAGTTATAATTGATGACGCCCTCACTTTTAAACCTTTTATTGATGCACTTGTGAAGAAATTAAAAATTAAGCTGGGTTTTTTCTTTCGAAATAAGACATGTTTTTCTTTTGGGGTTAAAAGGCGCCTTGTCTCTGCCACTTTTTTATCCGTCTTAGATTATGGTGACCTTTTTTATATGAATGCTACCTCTTCGTGTCTTGAAAAGCTGGACTCAATATATCATGCCTCCCTGAGGTTCATCACAAACTGTAGAGCTCTGACACTGTGAGCTGTACGCTCTCTGTCCACTAGGAGGCAGTGTCATTGGTAC